TCATTGTTCTAAGTAATACTTTGATCAATCATAATACCTTGGAACTCAGAAAACAAAAGTACAGCAAAACTTACAGAAGGAAATTAGGTCCTGAGTTAAATTTATTATTTTTCTACTTGAAAGGAAGCAGATGATATAGAATAGTTATCATGGTAAATTTAGAAAGAACAGACAGCCATTATAATCCCCAGTGACAAGAATTCCAAACTACTTATACGCTATCAGACTTCACACTAGTATGGAAATTGCTGTTTGACTTGGAATTTACCATGAAAGACACCATCTTTTCCCAAACCTAATTCTGTCAAGAAGAATCTAACATGGCACAGTCACTTCTAAGAGAAGTAATTCTTCATCCTGTCTCCAAACATCACTCTAACAAACATGTATTCAATTAACTTGAATAAGGAGGAAAAGTATAATCATATGCCTTTTGAAGGTTGATCAGTAAGTGTAGTTTGGGAGCTGAATCTACAGTTCAATTCCTCTTTCAGTAGTGTTTTGGACAGTATCTAGCAATAAGCATTTATTAAAAGTCCAAGATTGAGAAATAGATCAAGGATAGGACATAATATAGAAGGTCTCCCACTTGAAATATGTGAAAGTTGTTTGCATTACATAAATAGAACGATTGCAGGTGATGTCAGAATCTCAGCATCCAGACTTTGCATTATGTTTATGAAAAGAAACAGTATCCCAAAAGCTCTGGCATTTGGTGCATTTTGGAAACACAATGCTCATCTATAAAGCAACCTTATAAACACATTGTTCTCTCAACTTCACCTGAAGTTCTATGTAAAGATTGTTTGATTAATAAAATGCAATTTGCATTATCTTGAGTTTGTGGTTTTGTGATGTAGTTGGGCCAACTATCTTTGTGTCCAATAATTTATTTATAAACACATAAAATCTTAGACTTTCAAAAGATAATTTGCTGGAGAAGATTTTATATTTTCACCAGGTTTGGAAAAAATTGAAAAACAAATGAAAGGTTTATTATTTAAATCTGGAAACAAATTACCTCCTCTGACTTTAGGATAAATTATGCTCTTTATGAGTATGCTAATATTCTTTACTTCAAAGAATAACAAATATATGTGTATTTCTTTCAAGGCAAAGGTGTTTTAAGTATTGTACTCAATGCTACTAAAATGCAAAAATGTAATGACAATATAAATCAAAGTTCTTTTCAAATATTAAGCTTTTATTTCAAACACAACTTCAAAACTGAACAATAATGACATTATTAATGAATGAAAATATCAAAACAATAAGTTGAAAGTCAATCCTTTTAATTTGAAAACAATTAACAATAACAATTAACAGGTTCTATACATGAAATAAAACCATTGCATCCTGGTACTCAAAATTTCCTTAAAGAGAATTTAAAAAAAACTCTTGGAAATCATTAAACAAAATGTATGATTATTTGCAAGAAAGTAAAATGAAGTGTGATTCCATCAGAAGAAAACTCTCATAAAAAATTAATTCTGAGGTGTACTTAGAGTAGATTCCTGTAGTTGATGGGGAAAAGGTGAGATGGCTACAAAATGCCTACTTTCATTTAAATCTCTTAGCATAGAAAGAATAAAACATCAGTCATACAACAACTAATGACACAAACATTTATAATCAAAAACCAGCAGTGGTACCTACAAATCCTGCCTTCTGGCTTATGAAATTTGAATTCTCTTTGATGTAAATGAGTCCCCCACTGTTAGCCAAGCAAATCTTTATCTCCATCCATATTCTGTGAAAACAAATTCAGGCAAAGCAAAATTCCAGTTCACTTGGAAGAAAAAGACATCTTTCCCTACTGCTCTGGCATCTGTGAGCGTGTGTATTAGTCCCAAAGCTCTTCTTAACCTCATACCAACTATTCATCAATTTTCATCAGCAACTCTCACTGGTCCCTGCAGTGCACCTCAGTGGGTTGGCAGGGAAACTTGCAGAAGCATGTTTCACAGGAGAAAGAAAAAGAAAAACAGAACACATTGCACTTCAGAAGTCCCAGTCTATACTTCAAAAAATAATACTCCATTCACTGTGGTGAATTTCCCTGAAGCATGTGACTGCACTTACAATGAACATTGTTAAAGAATAAAACTCAAATACAAACCCAGGGTTTAGGATATATAACGATAGGAGTCATTCATTCATATTGAAATTCCTGTGGCCAGATGTTCTTGAGGTTTCTCAAAAATGTGATCTGATTAAGGAACCAGTGGGAAGGTTGTCCTATAAATCATGTTCTTAGTCACATACATTGGAAATAGTTCCTACAATGCTAGAAAATGGGGATTTAATATTGGAAAGTATTTACAGTGCCACCAGTTGAGTAACAGATAGAAACAAGAGGCTGGGTGTCTACAAAACAGCATGCTTCAAGGAGCAGGATGATTATATGAATTTAGTGGCTTATTAGTACACAGACATGCTGTATGGATAAGTCAGGATGGAGGGAAGGAAGGGAGGGGGTCTCTTGGAAAGCCCATTTATTTCCAAAATGCAAAATGAAGAGTTAGCCAGAAAAAAAGCAATATTAACATATGTACATGTTTTGACAACTAAATTATGAATGTCTTTGATATTCTCCATGTAAAAAGCAAGGAAAACTGATGCATTTTTAATGGAAGACACTGAGTTCAATCCCTGTAAAAAGCACCAAATGCATACCATTTAAGATAATGTCACTGATGCATGTTTGACAACTAAATTACAAAGCTCTTTGATATACTGTGCATAAAGAGTGGCAATTATGGCCAATAAAATCAAAGGAAGAAAAAAACTAATTAACACTAACATATCATTATGACTCACTAGAACATAAAATTCCATGCTTGCTCTAAATTGCTAGCAACTGGAAAATCCCAAATTCCTAAGGATGCAGACAATAGTTTTCAAATTACTGGAGCCAGAAGAGATTCTCACTGACTCTTTAGAAGTACAGCATTACTTTCTTCTGTCAGAAAGTTCAATACTACAAATGCCTTATATATAAGTTTATCTGATTTGGGGAAGGGAAGGGCAAACACAGAAATGGTGGGACAAAGGGTAAACTAATTCAGCAGTGAAATCCACTAGACACGCTATGTTGGAAATGAACTGTGCAACTTGGGGGGGGGATGGGAAAAACTGGGAAAGATTAAGGGAGGGGATGACACTATTCAAAAGGAAATGTACTCATTATATGAATCATGTAATTGTAACCCCTCTGTACATCGCCTTTACAATAATTTTTTTAATTCACCCAGTTCTAAGCTAGGCACTGGTATATCACATCTGTAATCATAGCTACTCTGCTGGCTAAGATCTGAGAACTGAGAGGTTTGAAATCAGCCAAGGCAAGAAGGTCCATAAAACTTATCCACAATTAACCAGCAGAATGCCAGATGTGGAGCTGTGGCTCAAGTGGTAGAATGCCAAGTCTTGAGTAAAAAAGCTAATCAAAGATCTGGAGGCCCTGAATTCAAGTACCAGTACACACACACACACACACACACACACACACACACACACACACACACACACAATTTACTCACTCCTGAAAGATGTCATCTCAGAGTTATAAACTGTAATGACAGTTGTGGCTCCTGATTCTGATACTGATTTATAAACCAAACTAGTGATTAATTTTAGTGGTACAAAACCAAAACCAAGAAAATTAGAAACAAAAAGAGTAGGTTCAAATTCAAGATCAGGTATTGATCATCCCTGTAACTTCAGGAAAATTATTGAACCTTCCATCCAATACAATATAATGCCTACACCATAGAATTCTTGTGAGACAAAGTAAGTATAAAAAAGAATAGCAACATGAAAAAAATAAACAATATACAAATATTAATTCTTCCACTGCATTATGAGTGGTCAGCTAAACTCAACAAGGGAGAAAAGTGCAGTTAATATGGCTATGAAAATTTCAATACACTGAAACTTAACTGATCATAACTGAAGGAATAACACATAGCAAAGGGGGAAGACCCTATGAAATCTATATTTTACTAAAATTGTCCCAAATTTTATATAGAGAAAAATGTAGCAGAAAATTTCAGTATGACATTAAATGTGATTTTAGACACTGAGCGAACTTTAAAAAAAAAAAGACTCTATAACCTAGTGATTGTATGGGGAAAAAAATCTTAGACTCTAAATTACTTGAAATCCAAGAGGAAACACAATCAAACTTGACTACTGATAGCTAATGAAACAAGTATTTGGGGAAGAAATGTATTGTCTAACTTCATTATTGAAAAATTCAGGACAGCAGTAGATGACCTCTTAAACTCCAAAGGTGGCAATAGAAATACCACTTCAACTCAGAAAAGTGCTGATTTCCTGAAACTTTTCTGAATGTAAGTTATTTCTGCATATATGTAATGAATGAAAAAAAATGCTCTGAGAGAGCATTCTGTAGGTGTCATTTGCACCATTCAAAATGTGAGCTATTGTCAAAGGAACCTTCAAAGCGCGTTTTAATCTTATAGAATAAGTCAAGATGTTCGAAATGTATAAAATAAAGAATTTTACCAAAAAATGAAATAGAAAAAAAAACATTTCTCTCAATACAAAAAAAAATACTAAATTGAGACTTAAATAAAAAGACAACAAGACAAAATCCTTTCCTGGCCTTGCTGGCTGTTCTTTGACAAACTTGGCTTTGATTTCCAGGATGCTCAAGCTTCACACACACACACACACACACACACACCTTTGTTCATCTCGGGTCCCCTGCAGTTACTTCTGCGCTGAGCTATTGAGCTTTCAAATAACTGATTTCTCCTGTTGCTTTTCTGAGCTTACTAAAGTGGCTCGGGCAATCGGCTCATCCGTTATCCGTGCCTGACCTTGGTTACAGCACCTGTGGCCTCTCACTCCAACTTCTGGGGTGGTGATTCCTGAAGTAAATGATGCTAGAAGGCCTCCTTGCAACCCAAAGGAAGATTGAGCTGCCCTCCCAAACAAGATAAAAAATACCAACTCCTGAGGGATTTTCCTACTCAAAACTCCATTGAATCTTGGCTTTCCAGATAGTCTTCCGGGGTCGATGTGTCCCCGACGGTTACCTTAGAATCTATGGTAAACCCACAATCTTTTAATGCTTTGTGAGCATTCATAAACTTCTGGAGATATTTGGATGTATACAGCCAGTGATGCTTCAAAACATCTTCCATTTCATAACACTTGGACTGCCTGGCGTTCATTTTCCGGAAACGTCTGAACAGTTTGTTCCCAGATTCGTTTCCTTCACTAGCCCAAGCCCCAATAGAGCCATCCCTCTCAATAATTTCAGGGACGTGTGCCAAGGTCTTGTGAAAGTAATTGGTGATTTTGCCCTCATACCTGTACTTGAACTTGGTAGACAGCAGCTCGGCAAAGCGCTGCGAGTTGAAACTATACTGGCAGAGGGCCTCTGGGCACTCTTTAGCTGGGCATGAGGAGCGCCACACGGGCTTCATTTTCAGGTAAAGGTCCATGAGCTCCCTGAGAGCTTCGTGCCTCTCCTGGGAGGGGATTAATTCGCAGACCGCCTCCACCGTCTCTTTGGTCATGAGCCTCCTGGCAAAGTTGCCATTCATCCTCATGATGGGCTTGAGGTTCATCTTCTTCCGCAGATGCTTGTCCAGCGTGGCCTGCCAGCGTTTCCTTTCCTCTTTGGAAGCCCCGGGGTGTTTATACACCTCTCCGATCTCCAGCTGGAAGATCTTGTAGAACTCCCCGGCGTTGCCAATGTCACAGTGGAGGGCGTCGATGGAAGGGACGGTCTCGATGAAAGGCTTGGCGGAGACGCCTTTCACACGATCCCGCAGCTCTTCCACCGATTCGTGGTAGGGGTTGGAACGCCAGACCTCGTAGCGCTCCAAGTTCTCCGCGTGGCTCCTGGTGATCGAATGCAAAACGAGATTCTGGGAGGCCTCCAGGCGGGTGGCATCACACAGGGTACAGATGTAGACGGAGCCCGAAGCCTCCAGGCCTTCCACTTCCCGGACCAGTTTCTCATCGTACCCGGTGCCCCTGAAGATAAACCTGAAAGTCCGGAGGATCCCTCCCATGTCCAGCCTCAACTCGCTGCTCTTCATGGCCTCCCTCTCGGCGATGAGAGGGCTGAGGATGGCCGTCAGGGTCTCGTGGTCAGACTCATCCGCCAGCATCAGGCACAGGGGCTTGCAGCACAGCTCCGAGTTGGGCTTGGCTTCCTCGAACACCTTCGCCGTGCGTGCGCCCTGGGCCACGCTGATCCTCATGATGGTGAAGGAGAAGCGAACGGCCTTTTCCGGGACGGCTGGTCCCGACCCATGCTTCTCACTCACGTCCCCCATGCCGTCGCAAGACTCCTTCACCACCACGGTGAACGGCCCGCTCAGGTAGTCCTCGAGATCCTGGGATCGCAGGCCTTCCAAGATCTCTTCTTCCATGTCCATCAGGGCCGACACCAAGGCCGCGTCGTAGCGGAACCGCTTGGCAATGGTGTCCACCGGGTAATCATCCACCGAGGTGGACAGCCCCGACAGACCGTCGATGATGCCAACGTCGGTGCGGGATGACACCTGCTTCAGAGGTGGCTGCCACTCGAAAGGGTGGTGGCCCGGCAGGAGGACCTTCTCGGCATTGCGCAGGGCGTGGAGCGGCTGGAAAATCTGCCTGCCCGTGATGGCTTTCACAGTCCTGTACATCTTGTGGTACTGACTGCAGCTGAGGAAGGTGTTGACCCGGATAGCCAAGCAAACGGCCGGCTGCAGGCCCGAGCCCCGGCCTTGCATGATGGCTTCCAGCTCGTCGGCTTGTCTGTGTTCGTTTCTCGCCCTCAGCACCAGCAAGAACAAGGTCAGGCACACGGATTTTACGTCTCCACCTTCCTCTTTGTCGGCAAACGCCTTCACTTGCAGCTTGAGCTCCCTCAGTCGGTGCTTTTGAGCCCTGCGGGTCAGGGACAGGAGATGCTGCCGGGGTCGCCCCCCTTTATTGATGTGCACCAACGTCTCTTTCGACTCCTTGTGGCTTGAGACGTGGTGGTTGTATTTTTCCAAGCTGACCTCCTCGTTGCACTCTTTGGCGGGGCATTTGACTAGGAGAGAGTTCAGGATGCTCAGAAAGGATTTCCCTGGACTCTCCAAGTCCGTAGGGAAACAGGGATAGCGACACGAGGGGCAATAGCTCCCCATGACTTTGAGACATCTGAAGATACAGACCCTGCAAAAGACGTGCTTGCAGCTGGTTTCCACCGGGTCCGCCAGAATGTGTTCACAAATCTGGCAGGAGATGGATTTCAGGAAGTAGGCGGGGAAGTCCACCGCCAGGAGCTTGGTACTGAGATGTATCTTACTGCAGCTGGCAATCTGCTTCATGATTGCCTTGCTGCTGACCTTTGCCCGAGCTCTTCTCTTGCGCTGCCGGACTTGTCTGGCTCGATCAAGCATCATTTTGATTCTTTTGCTGAGCTGCCCATGGGTGTGATGTCTCCTCCTCCTGAGCCCCTGCCGGGTAGAGTGGCAGATATCACAGGATGGTGAATGGGGATGCCACTCCATGGTTGTGTTCCTGGGGAAGTAAACCTCACGAGGAGCACTGCTAAATCTGCGGTGCATAATGCTCCAGCAATTGTGGCAGAATTCAGTGGGGTGGATCGAGTCGACATCTGCTTTCACATCAATCCGGAAAACCCTGGCGATGAGGTCAGGCCAGGAAGTGGCTCTCTTTTCCTTCTTCCGTAAAAGGCTTTGGGTTTTCGCATCCACCGGCCCATGGACAGGGTATCTCCTCCTGTGTTTATCAGTTTGAAAAGAATTCCCGCAGATGCGGCAGAAGTGTCGGAGGTTGGCTTGGTGGATGGCTTTGGCTCTTGTTTTCTTATCATCGTGGGCTTTCTTTGAAAACTTAGGTTGGCCCTGCAATGCTGGTTGAACCAGGACTGCATTCTGAACTCCAGCCTTTTCCGGGACTGATGGTGATTGCTCTAAGGTAGGGTTCCCCTCAGATGCCTCCTTCTTTTCCTTTTGGGCTTCCTCTGGTGCCTTTTCAAAAGATCTCACCCTGAATAGCTTAAATTTCCACTCTGCGAATTTAATATGTGGATGTTGAATTTCATCAGGAGCAGAACTGAATCCCAAGGTGGGTGGCAAGGAGACAGCCATGCTGATGGAGGTGCCTGGGATAGTGAAAACAAGCCAGGTCAGGAAACACGTCAATATTCTACAGAGGCATATTGAGAGTCATACAAAGAAAACAAATGCGACATTTAATTACTCACTCATCCTTTTTTAATACATGTTTGACGTGCTCTGCCAGTGCTTTTTATTATCTTTTTTCTTTTTTTTATTTTTAATAAGGAGTTGTAAAAGGGGGTTACAATTCCAGAAGTCAGGTTACAAGTACAGTGCTTCTGGGTCAGTGTCAACTTCCTTCGTTCTCCCGAATTTCCCCTCTCTTATTCCTACCCTCAAGTTACATAGTTCATGTTTTACATAATGTACATCGAATATAATGACTGTGTTTGCTCACCCTGCCTCCTTCCATTCATGTGTCCCCCCTTTTTGACCTTCTCTCACCCATGAAAAATCTGTTTCTACTTCTTGATAATCATTTTGATAAACACTACATTAGTTGTTCTGAGGAATTACACCTTCTGATTCTTTCTCAAACTATATCATCCTTTAATCAGTTTGTTTCTGTGTATAATGTATTAAGTCTGTGTATATTATCGTTCATATTTGTGTTTTAGATCTAACTTGCACTTCTGAGAGAAAACATGCTCCATCTGTCTCTCTGAGCCTGGCTTACTCCATGTAACATGATTTTTGCCAGGCTCATCCATTTCCCTGCAAATGATATAATATTATTCGTTCTAAATGAATTAGTAAATTTCCATTGTATATACGTACCACATTTTCTTATTTTAACCTATGCAGATGTTTATTTTAGCATTTCCTACTAATGTGTATTTGTTTCCTCTTTATTCCAACCTAGGAATGATAATTTAGAAAAAAAGCTTTTCATTGAGAAGTAACGAATATACAATAGGTATGCAAATCCTAAGTATTTTTATCTCAATGAAAAATGTTGGTTTGTGTAGACAGCACTTAAAGGTACAAAACACACTTTATCATTTCCAGAAGGTATCTTCATGGTCTCTCCTTAGTCAATGATTCGCAAAATAAAACTCGATTTTCAACATTGCCAAATGCCACAGTTCAACCTGCAGATGTGCAGATTACCTTCACTACTCCCAGTCACCAACAGACTGCAGCCCATCCTCCAGGGAGACCTCTGGAAGGAAGAGTTGTCATCTACCAAACAAGAGGTGTGAGCTCCACCTTCAGAGCTCCCAGAGTTTGGATAAGCTTCTGAAAGCCATCTAGAATCCCAGCTCAGCCTGAAAAACCTTTTGAGGGAGTCACGCCTTCAGGTGAGCAGAAGGCTCCTGTTCAAGCTCCAGAGGCCCCCATGGAGAGCATAGACGCAAGTCTCCCAAACCATGAGCTGACAGCTCAATCTCTAGGAGAGGTCCAAGCTCACCATGCCAAGAGCTTCCTGAAGAATCTTCTCCAAGCCAACAATAGAGCACAACTCTGCTCCCTAAGTCCTCCGAAAGTACTGAGCTTCCAGCCAGCCAGCAAGGACTTCCAGTTCTATCACCAATACCCAGTATGGACTATAGTATTCCTCCACTGTCAGATAGTGGGGATTTTCACCTTTAGATCTAATGAACTAGCATTGCCTAAAACCACAGTGAAACATGTAGATCTGGAGATCTGACCATAACTCCACAGACTAATGAGCCAATTGAATTCTCTCCAACCCAGTCTGGTCTCCCTTCCCAGCCTCTTCAAGGCCCTGAAAATGTTGGATCTTCCTCAGTTTATCAAGAGACTACAACTCAGACTCCAAATTCTCACAAGCAGCAAACTGCTTCTACAACTTCTCTAATGGCTTCATCTCTGCCTGCACAACTCCCTGAGTAGGGGGAGTACTCTAGTACTTCCGGTGGACATAGAACTTCCCTCAACTCAGGATGAAGATCCAACTCAGCTTCCAGTGCCACCTCATGAGATGGTAGTGCAACCTCCAGTGCATTATGAGATGACAGTTCCCATTCCAAATCAAGATGTAACTCACAGTCCAGTATTGCCCAGTGTCACATCTCAACCTGTGGACCTGGAACTCACACTCCAGAAATCTCTACTACAGCCAAACATTCTAAGGACCTAAAAAAGTGACCTTGGGAAACACTTCAACCTGTACACATCCAACTGACTGTAACTGTGCAAGCTGTTGTTGAAGATGAACTTCCTCCAATAGTAGATGAGGCCCCAGGTCTGCCTACAAAGCCACCTATGGAGGTTGTGGGGCAATCTGAAGAAAATCAGGGGGTGACAGTTCTCATCACAGGTCAGAATGAAACTCAGCATTCAGCATTCCCAATGTGATATTTCAACAATTTGACCTGGAAGTTACAGTAACTCCAGACTCCACCATAGAGCATGAACATTCTTCAGCTCTGAAGATGGCAACAACTTCTCCAGAAGAACCTGAGGTAACCTTTCTACCCCCAGATAAGATTCAGTCTCAGCATCCCCATCTGACTGAAGTCACAGTTCATCCTTTTGATGTGGAAATTACCTTCACTCCAGAATCCAATATGGAGATTGCACTGTCTCCAACCATACAGGATACCTTAACTGACCTTTCAACACCACCCAGGGATTCTCCAACCCAAGCCTCATTTTCCATCACAGGTCTGACTCCAACCTGGACTCCAATGACACACAAGGTCACATCTCAACCAATGCCTACTGCTTTCCACAACGTCAGGACCTACTACAGAGAGTGAAAATTCTCCATCCTTGAAGAAGACCACAGTTCCTCTACAAGTAACAAATCCACTTCAAGGTCAGCAACCTATTAGTTTCTTCAAATATGCAGACAGTGTCTGCAGGAGACCCCCATTGAAGCTCTGCATGAGACCAAAACAGTACAACCTCTGCAAAAGACCCCGCCACAGACACTGCAGGAGATTCCAACTCAGGCTTTGCATGAGACTCCAGCACAACCTCTGCTGGGGATCCCAACTCAGCCCCCGCAGGAGACTCGATAACTCAGTTTCTACAGGAGATCTCCACTCATTCACCACATGAGACCTTAACACAGATTCTGCACAAGACTCCAGCACAGCCTCTGCAGGAAAGTCTAACACAACCTCTATATGAGCTTCCAGCACAACCTGTGCAAGAGATCCCAACTCAGCATCTGCAGGAGATCCCAACTATACTTCAGCCGAAGACTTCAACTCAGCCTTGGCAGAAGACCTCAACTCAACCTCTTTTGAAGCCATTAAGTCAGCCTCACTGGAAGACTCTAACTCAGCCTCAGTGGAAGACCCAACTCAGCCTCCACAGCCACAGCTGGAGCCTGAGGTTAAACCTCCAACATCAGGCTATCAGCCATTGTCAACAAATACAAAGACTGTACCTGGTGCCATCCTGAAGAATATTAGAACTCTTCCTCCAAAGCTCACTGAGGTGACACAGCCATACAGATTTCAGACTCAGCATCCAACCCTGATTCAAGGCACAGTTAACCCTCTGAGTCTGGAACAACTTACTAAGACTCATTTTTCAACATCCACCACAGAAAATGCTTTAGCTGTGCAAACAGAACAGAAGGCCCCTCCAAGCATCAACTTATGTGAGCTCTGTCACTGCCAAGACCAGACATGTGTGGATCTCAGCCCAAGTCAGAGTCTCCGCCAAGTTCCTGTGACAAACTTTTCACTGTCTTGCAAGTATCCCCCTACCTCCTTTGTGCTGGACATTCTGCCTGGCATCCTTTTCTCAAGGTCTTCCTCCTCTCTCCATCCAATACTGAGTAATATTTACTATTTTCTTTTGGTCGTGGGGCTTGAACTCAGGGCCTGAGTGCTGTCCTTGAGCTATTTTGCTCAAGACTAGGAACTTCAAGGCACAGTGTCACTCCCAGTTTTCTAGTAGTTAGTGGAGATAAGAATCTCATGGACTTTTCTTCCCCAGGGTTGGTTTCAAACCTAGATCCTCAGATTTCAACCTCCTTAGGACTAGGATTACAGGCATGAACCACCCATAACCTGGCTGGCTTTTTAACTTTTCACTTCTTCACTTTCCTTGTTCTGTTTCCTATTGTATCCATTCTCCAAGCTTTTATTTGAGGTTGCCCTTTGTTTCCAAGAAGATTCTGAGTCACAGAAGTTCTCATAGGAATTCAAAATTGTACCACTGTATTTTGGACACTGCGCCACCCATCACTTTAGCGATGGCAGCTGGGACAGCTCCACCTTCAGGTGGTCCAAGCTGCTGCGGCAGCTCCTCCTTATTGCCGCACGGATCCCAAGCTTGAATCTCAGCCATAACTACAAGTAGCTGCCGTGGCCTTCACCTTGTCAGAGGGAAAGAGCTGTACCACATTTTCTTGATCCACTCATCCATTGTAGGGCATCTGGGCCAACTCTGTAACTTAGCTAGATCTCTTGTTTTAATATACTATTGGGAATTAGATGTTGATCATACAGCAAAAAAAAAAAAAAAAAGTCATTCCCTGTCCTGACAAATGGTTAGGATCATTTATATCATGTAGTTGTATAATTTAAAATTGTGTGTGTGATATAATTCTTCTAGAAACACTTTAATGTCATTTAAGACAGAATATTTGAGTGATTGATCTTATCTTCCTAATATTGCATATTAGGATTGCATGCTCAGTAATTATTTTTTAGTAAATGCGAAGATAAAATAGCTACTAAAGCAAAGGAAAGCAATATTTTCCACACTGTATTAGCCTCATTGAACGAGCTGGACAATATATTTCTGGCTTTTTAAAGCAGTCTTTTGGGAGGTTGGTTGTTTATTTCCTCCCAACGGGTCATAAAGAGATGATAAAGCTACAAACCCAAAGAAACTAATTACTCACTACTTGAAAGGATGAAGTGAATTTTGAGCTTTATGGATGCAACCTAATAATAAGTATCATGGATAGTAATTATGCTTACAATTTTAATTAGTGAGAGCTGCTGTAAATTATAAGGCTGTATCTACGTTAGAAACAAAGACCACAGAGCTCTTGAAACCTGCAACAAGCCAGAGTCTGCACATATTCAGATGCTAAA